AACATTAAATGATGAATGGGACTTGAAGATAGCAATAGAAGGTGATCTGGTGTCTTAGGCAGGGTTGAACTCCACATTCCTGGTGCAGAACAAACCAGTACCTCACTTGGTCCTGTACTTCAACTAGAACATAAAGAGAATAATAATGAGATGAAAGTACAATTTGCTTTTCTTTCTGCAGACAATCAGTAACTGAAATAATGTCAACATTCAGACTGCATCACATAACATTGCATGGATAATCCTCTGGTTCATGCATTACATTTCTATCCATACACCATGAATGACTTTGTATGGCTTTTTCTAAGTTGAAACTCCATCATGATTTCCTATTCCACAATAATATTACTGGCTGTGCAGCTCATAGATGGTCATAAGTGTTTAAAATAAGATCCAAACATTCATGAATACACACATTTACTGCAGGTGGGGGAGGGGGGACCTGACCAATGTATTACACTAGGTGTATCATTCTTGTGTGCAAATGTTTCTGATTGATAGGCATGTATCTCTTTGAAATTACAACATATGTTAGAGATGTACATGTACTACTATTCTATTTTATTTGGGAAAAGATCCTTTATTTCTTTGAGAATTCCTCCCCAGGCTTATGGTTGACACCCAAAGCAGTTTTGAGTGTGAACAATATGGATGAGAAAATTTTGAACATGTTTGAAAGTCTATAATTCTTTATCAAAAACATGTACATTCTTAATATCCTGCAATATGTTGGACTTACATATGTACTTTTGTTTCATTTGACTTTTAAAGAAATCTGTTGTGGTATTGAAATGTATGCCAGTACTTGAAATTCCCATACTGTAAACAATATAGCTGACAAAATGTTGGGAAGTTTGAGAGTCTATATTTCTGGATCAAATGAAAGGATCTTTTCTATATCCTGCAGTGGTGTGACAGGAGATTGTAGTTATGTTTCATTTGACTTTGAAGAAGATCATTCTATATGTTTAAATTTATGCCAGCACATGATGTTCACACACTGTAAACAATATGGCTGACAAAATATTAAGCAACTTTGACAGTCTATATATCTGGATCAAAAGTCATGATCACTTTGATATTCCAGAATATGTGGGGGTGATATAAGTAGTCAAGTTTCATTTTACTTTCAACAAGATAAGTTCATGTATTTGAATTTATCCAGCACTTGTAAACAGATGGCTGCCCAATCTAAGCAAATGTTAGGTCAGTTTTGAAAATCTATATTTCTGGATCAAATGAATAGATCTCTTCAATATCCCAAAATAATTTAAGGGGGTATATGTAGTTATGTTTTACTTGACTTTGAAGAAGATCAGTTGATTTTTTTAAATTTATGCCAGCACTTGAAGTTGAGGAATGTAAACAAGATGGCCGCCAAAATGTTAGGTAACTTTGAAAATTAATATTTCTAGATCATATAAACAGATCTGTTCAACATCCTGATATAATTTAAGGGGGTATATGTACTTAAGTTTTATTTGACTTTGAAGAAGATCAGTTGATTTTTTTAAATTTATGCCAGCACTTGAAGTTGAGGAATGTAAACAAGATGGCCGCCAAAATGTTAGGTAACTTTGAAAATTAATATTTCTAGATCATATAAACAGATCTGTTCAACATCCTGATATAATTTAAGGGGGTATATGTACTTAAGTTTTATTTGACTTTGAAGAAAATCAGTTTATTTTTTAAATTTATGCCAGCACTTGAACTTCAGGAATGTAAACAAGATGGCCGCCAAAATGTTAGGTAACTTTTGACAGTCTATATTTCTTCATCAAATACCTGGATCTCTTCCATATCCTGGAATAGTTTGGGGGGATATATTTTGCTGTGTTTCATTTCATTTTAAACAAGATTAGTTGATTTTTTTGAATTTATGCCAGCACTTAAAGTTCACACACTGTAAACAACATGGCTGACTAAATTTTAGGTAAGTTTGACAGTCTATATTTCTGCATAAGAAGTTGTCATCTCCTTAATATTCCAGAATGTGTTGGAGTGATGTATGTAGTCATGTTTGATTTCACTTTGCAGAACATCAGTTGAATTTTTATGATTTATGCCAGTGCTTGAAGTTCACATGGTGTAAACAAAATGGCTGCCCAAATTTGAAGCAACTTTGACAGTCTCTATTTCTGGATCAAAAGTCCTGATTTCTTTCATATTCCGGAATATGTTGGTTTGATATATGTATTGAAGTTTTATCTTACTTTCAAAAAGATCGTGTCACATTTTTTGAATTTATGCCAGCGCTTGAACCAAACACACTTTGTTCAGTGGGTGGGAGGGGGGCAAATACATTGTGGGTTCAATTTCTCGACATCGGTTCCACTGATTATTTTCAGGTTTTCAGTGTTAAAAGGGCCCATATAGTAGTAATCAAATCAGTACTTCAAATGCGATTTCGAACTACCATACTATCACAGATCAAATTTTAATGTCGTCAGAGGGCACAAACTGCAGTTTCCCAGGACGAAAGGTTCAGAAACAGGGCAATCGGCTCTTCTATAAGTACAAGTCACATGAAAGATGAAGCACCCATGTATCCTACGTCTGTACGTACCTGGTATGTAGTCTTGCGTGGTCATCCTGGTGAACTGTGATCTGTTTTCCAACATGTACTTCATGAGCCGCCATCTAGCTTGGCGGCCATTTTGTAACAAGCCTAAATTCCCATAAAGCATTGAGTCACCCCACCCCTTCCCACCCTGGTTTGATTCTACTACAGTACTATAATTAGGGATGTCACACTAAAAATAGGGGGGGGGCGCCAAGGATTATTACAAATGATTTAATGTTATAGAGTAGATTTTTCCGGTCAGAATGCTTCCTTTCGCATAAAAATTGGAGAAAGTTGAGATTTTCTAGAAGAATTGCACAATCACAGGCGTCAACCTTGAACTTTGCCCTTTCACGGGACCTGATTCCCAGAACTCTCCTCGACCGGGAAGTGAGTTGGCTTTTGAGTCGAACTTTGGCGCGTCCGTCCGGGCGACGCAAAAACCGGTGCCGCTGAAGCGTTTCCCAAAGTTTATCGAATTTTCCCTCACTGTTAATTGCGTATTTTTAAATAAAACTACCACAGTATGATAGAAAAAATGCCATAGATTACGGATACCACCATTCTATTTAAAGTGTGCGAACGCTTTATTGTTGAAAATCGTTTGAAAAATTCTACCGAACCCACTTTCCAATGGCGAAACGAGAAAGTGTGACATGCCTACTATAATATCTGAATATTTGGTAGTCATATGATAAGTAGTTTATAAGTTACAGGGACGGACCTCAAGACTACTCGTCCGTCCGTCCCGAGATGACAAAAAAAAAACGGTCTGAGCGTCAAATAATACTACATTTCTAAACAAAATTCGAAAGTTTCAAACCTCTGTTAAGTATCAGGAATGTTGTGAGTTTGTTAAGTTACCTTTGTAAATTTGTGGCTACTTTAGCACACATTCTACCATGCACAGTCACTTCCTACCACCCTGCAGGGAGACTATACTGACCTCCATCTCGCCCCTCACTCCCTGTTACTCTCCTGTATTCAAACTATTGGCACACATGCAAACAAATAGACAAACATAAGCCTGTGGGCCTTCTCATTAATAAACTAATGTTTCATTTCTTTCTTCTTTTTAAAGAAATTTTCACCCCTCAAGACTGCGGAGATCTCTTAGCAGAAGGGTTCCAAACCAGTAGGGATTATATTGTCGGCTACCCCCAACCATTCCAGGTGCACTGTGACATGGACACTGATGGCGGCGGATGGACGGTCATACAGCGGCGACAGGACGGGTCCGTGCCGTTTGACAAGACTTGGACTGAGTACGAGCAGGGATTTGGCAATCCTACTGAAGAATTCTGGGCGGGATTGGGAACCATACACGATCTAACAACACAAAAGCAAAACGAGTTGTATGTCTACTTGGAAGATTGGGAAGGACACTCTCGACATGCTCGGTACAGCGTGTTTTCTGTAGGAGGCGCAAGCGGCAACTACCAGGCAACTCTTGGCGGATACACCGGGGATGCTGGTGACGACTTGACTCTAGCTGACGAAAATGGACGCCACAGCATAGATGGTACAGAATTTTCTACCAAAGACCAGGACAACGACGACAGCAGCAGCCACTGTGCAAGTACATACGGACAAGGCGGATGGTGGTACCCTACAAGCTGTGGTAACGCCATGTTAAACGGACAGTACCTGACGGCATGTTCCGACACTTCTACCTGCGACAGTGCACAGGGAATCGTTTGGAAGTCTTGGAAAACATACACATACTCCTTAATGAAGACCGTGATGATGATTAGGCCCACCAATGTTTCTAGTAAGTAATATGTGTTTTCCCTTTCTTCCAATTCATAGGTTTGAGGTTCTAATAAACCAGTTCACTGCTTGACCTTGTACATGAGCTAGGTCAAAGAAGAATGCCACTAGCTTTTAAATAGTTCTTCTCTAGTTCATGCTTGATGCCATGTTTTATTTACGTCTCAGGGACCTTCAAATTTAATATACTATCCACATAACATTATGAAATAATAATACATTACACTGCGCATGGGCAGTCAAACCGTGTAGTGGCTTATAAGATCAAGACAGTTTTATTTATCTATTTAATTTGTTTGCTTTAAGCTTGTTCTGCTTATTTGTTTATTTCAAAATTATAAGTTGGAACAGCATCGTATCATAACAGTATTGTATTTTCTAGCATCGAGCATATGCCAAAACAACGCAACACTTACTACAGGACCACATGGGACTGGGATCTATCGCTGCTCGTGCAGACTGGGATGGACTGGAACATACTGTGATCAGGGTTAGTTTACCTGCCTACACTCTTTTATGTAGCTTCTTGAATTATCATGCTTAACTACAAACACACGTACATACATACATACATAACGTAACATACATACATACGTACATACATGCATACATGCATACACACTAGAAAGGCGCCAGAAAAATCATAACTACATTGGTGAATGTAATAAAGTGCGTTTGTGAACGTGCAACCACTTTTTGTTCTCTAGACATCGACGAATGCAGCAGCAATGGCAACAACTGTGCCCCCCAAGCGACATGTACCAACACTGCAGGGTCCTTCAACTGTACCTGTAATACAGGCTACACCGGGGATGGAGTTACGTGTGCAGGTAGCTGTTTCATCTCTTCAACGTGTCATATCTTCATCCTATTCACTTAAGCATTGTCACAAGTGGCAAAAATATGTCTGCCATATTCACAGCTGTCCTTTATGGAGAATTAATAGAAAACAAGTAAAATCTGAGATTTTATACCTCCGGGCTTTTTATTGTATATTTTTATATAGGGTTTTAAACAAAGAATTTATCGAGACCGGACACCCCTCTGTGTGAGGGGTCATATACATGGACCAGACCGAGAATAGCTTAAACACGCCAAAGGTCAACGGTCGTGACCACTTTCACGCTCAAAGGGGTGTTTTGGGGCCACCAAAAGGCACCATTTTTACGCCCGAAAACACATATACAATAAAAACAAAAGAACGTGCATCATCTGCAGCCCAATAGGAAAACATATACCGAGTCCCAAAAGAATCCGTCCACCCAAACGCGGGAAACAGCTGCGAACATGAAAATCTAAATCTCTCACAAAACCCTTCCGCGGAAGGATGTCTCCTCCCCCGGAGGTAATAACATCTGGCTACAAAGTGCATGAAATATAGCCTTAACCTCCGTGTACAGAGGTGCTGCTTTCAATGTGTCCGTTTGTGTGTTTGTCGCACTGTGTTTCTGTAGCTACATCCAAATGCTAAGTACGTCGGGGACACTGGCAGGAAGTTAGCTTTAATTTTTCCCCCAATTAATTTTCTTTCAAATTCATCTTTGTCGCTTTGTTGGAGCCAGAGAAAAATGCATGGACGGAAGAACTTCGCAATGGTTTTATTTAAATGAAACGTTTACAAAAATAACGGAGATTTCATCAATTTTTCTCCCTTCTTTTTCAGATGTGAATGAGTGTGACATATACCCGGTCATCTGTGATCCGCAGGCTACATGTTTAAACAACGTGGGATCTTTCACTTGTACCTGTGTTTCTGGGTTCATTGGGGATGGGTATACATGTGAAGGTAAGGTGCAACGGGTCAATGTACAGAATTTGAAACGTCGTGTAAGGCATGATCCGTGCAAACGTCGATTTGTCTACTAGACATGGAATACTGCGGTTAAATGATAATTCAAAGAAACGACACTCTGTATCTTGTTAATTATATGTACACAATGGATATCATACTCATCATTTAGCGGTCATTGTCTATCGCATGTTTTATATTGCGTTAATTACCTTCGCCAAGAAGGTTATGTTTTCGTAGGCGTTCGTGTGTCTGTGTGTGTGTGTGTCAGCACGATAACTCAAGAAGGCTGAAATGGATTGTCTTGATATTTGGTAGGTGGATAGGTCTTCATGAGACGTGGAACTGATTAAATTTTGGGCCCCCTAGCGGCTTGTTATGGTACTGCAGCTGAACTTCCGGGTTTGATATCTCGTGATCTAGACATGCTAGGGTGACGAAATTTGGATGGTAGGTAGCTCTTGTGCTGGGGAAGAAGTGATGTGAGTTTGGCCTCCCTAGCGGCTTGCTCTGGAACTGCAAGGGCGTTAGTTGAAAAATATTTAAAGGCGGATAACTCTTGAACCGATTGATGGATCGTCGTGATTTTTGGCATGTAGGTAGCTGAAGTGATGCTTAAAGAGCAGGCTTGCACTATATAAGAACCCAATAAATTCGGCTAACGTAAACTACCAGGCCCCATTCTGTCCCTGACTACCGTGGTGGTAACATGGGCACAGGGCTCTTGAAGACACTTTGTGTTTGTAACATATTGAAGACAGATAAGGAATTTATGTACATGTACAGTCTGTTTTACAGAAAGAAGATAGCCTCACCTTACCCAGAATATAGTAATTACACCACTGTACTGTTTTGCCAAGGTTTGGTGGTGTTATAGATTGGCCGGCAGTTACTTGAACAGTTCTAACAGAGATCCAGTCTACATGTATACTAGTGCTGCTTTCTCATACTATCAAATTGACACCACAATTGCAACCCATATTTCTAGACTCACTTACTATCCAAGCTAATTCAGTTGTGAGGTTGCCATTTTAGATATCTATAATTAGAGGCTTTGATGAAATGTTGACAAGACAGTTTGAAAAATTGAAATTTGACCACAAAGTTGGTTTTCCAGAAACTGAAAGTTGCAGATAGTATTTTCTTGATTTATGTGACTCAGTTACAGCTATCCCGATCATTCTGCATGGTTTGATATTGTTAGTTTGAAAACCAGTATAGAAAAAACATTTGAATTTGTTCAAAAAGGGTGACAGTTATTATGCTAATCTGTCCCTGCCATTGTTTTCGGTGGCTGGACCGTCTAGGATGTTTATTAGTTTATGTGGTTATGGGGGTCAATTCACTATTCAAGCTGCTGGAGAAGCCACAGTGGGGAGTACTTCCTTATTGCGTCGCCCTGGGCATCGAATCCTCCAGTTTAACATAATAATATTATGATTATGCATATATTAATGTAATTTGCATAATTAATGAGGAAATTCTATAAATCAGCTGCATTCCATGATAGGACTATTCAAGCTTGTGACATATGTAATTAAGAACGGCAGAAATACAGGCAGATATCGATTATGCAAATGAAGACTTAATTTGCATAATTAATGAGAAAATGTTATATTTACATAGTGGTAACTGCCTGGAATTTCATACTTGGGATATATGACAGTTATGTGAAGGTGAACATAATTAAACATAAATTATTCAAATAAGGACCTCATTTGCATAATTTATGAGGAAATGCTATAATGGCATTCTTTGATAAGATAAGACTGTCTTCTGGTGTAGAATATGATCAACAGATATAATTGATGCAAATATAGGATCCTATTTGCACAATCAGGGGGATTAATCTATAATTTCTTACTCATAAAGGCTAACATCATTTGGCGAAGGTATGAGATCGTGGAACTCTAGTTTAGTACTAGATTTAATAAGATTCTATGTACTTGAAATTAATTGAATAGTTAGCTCAAAAATTCAACATTTACTCTAAGGCATACAATTTTGCCTACATTACGTTACATTCGATTACATAACTTATCGATGATATTCTACCCTTCAGCGTGTACCGACTTCTTCAACGTCTATTCCAATCAAGCCTTGTATGGACATGATGACGAAATCATCGGCGGGATGACGACTGCGGATAGGTGTGCCCAGAAGTGTCTTGAAGGAACGGCTACTGTCCCGGAGGGGGAGTGCTTGTCGTTTGACTACTACCGATCACGTCACAGATGTCAGCTCAGTAGAGCCAATCAGAACACATCTGGAGCAACTCTTGGTCCTGATAACCTGAACAGATTCGATCATTACGAGATGAAAGGTGAGTTTGGTAACAAGACCAGCGCCTGAGATCATTGATATATCATATTTCGAAGGTTCAAATTATTACCTGGCAGTGGCCTGGAAGTATTGTTGGCCGAGCTTTTAGTCTGTGTATCTGTTTGTCCAGACATAGTAGGTCGACAGTCCGTGAGTGGTGGAATGTTGACAGGCAGAATGATAGGCATCAGAAGCCAAGGGTCGACATGGAGGAATTCAGGAAGCCCAGTGTTGCATACTTGCTGGACACATGGAATGTCTGATTTATTGTTTGTTATGAACTCATTATATAACGTAGAACACTCTTTCCCTCTACTTATGTTCTTTTCCTATTATTCAGCTTTATTCAGTTTTATTATTCTTTATTGAAGTATCTTTCAATGGCCTGCAATGTGTATGTTACTAAATATTGGAGTTCTAAATTTCTTAATGACTGGACTTATTGTTATTGGTATCATAAATTACAAGAACGTTTTGTTTGTTATGTTGCAGACATAATTAGTTTCTTTGACGTCTATGCTGACCATGCCTTGTCTGGGCACGATGACCAGGATGTTACACCGGCGACCGTGAGTCCCAGGATCTGTGCCCTGCGATGTCTTCTAGGGGAGGGCACACTGACAGTCGGGTCCTGTCTCTCATTCGACATAGACGACACCAATCCACGATGCCTACTGAGTAGAGACAACCAAGTAACAGCAAACCAAGCACTCACATTGACGTCTGAATTTGATCATTTTCAACGCAAAGGTAAGCTGGATATACAGTCACACCAGATGGTCCTACTAAAATATATTGGGAATACAGTGAACGCTGCTTCTTTATTCATAATGTGTATTGTGGAGGACATACAAGTTTGAGCTTCAAAACAAGTATTTGCTCTTAACACGTCTGTCTTAACATGCCTCTTTTCCTAGTTAAGGGTTAATTATGTGACATGTTTTTTTTTCTTGAGTACAAAACCTCTATGTAAATGTCACACTTTTCAGCACATCTGCGCCAACATTTTTTCTTTTTTTAATGTAAGGTACGTATCAACAACTTATTTTCTTTATTTTCTTCCCAAAGCTGCAACAACTCTGGTAAAGATGTTTTAACAGGACTATGGTGAAATGTCAACAGGCACACTGATGATCAATCAGGCTACTGAAAAACACAAAAGGCAGTGGTTTGACATGTGTTATTTTTTTGGATATTACGGTTTATAAACATGTTTTAAATTTTCAATGATGTTGTAATTTGACTCCCTGAATATCATTTTGCGATGCTATAGCAGTGATAACAAGACTGGCAATGAAAACATACATTGCCATGGCGACGGTGGTTGCTGTTAGGGTTATTGTTTGCATGGCACTGCCATCATTTCATGATTTTGAGGAAGACTTGGTACTTGTACTTTGGTTAAGTCTAGACAGATACAGTACACTCCTCCCCTGAGCGCATAGTGAACGAGCCCCGGGGTCACAGAAAGTAGGACCATCTGGGGCAGACAGGTCTTCAGGGTTCCAGGTATGTGGGCATAGATGTGGGTCAGAGAAATGCCTGTGGACATTCCGCATGCCTGTGGACATTCCGCATGCCTGTGGACAAAAATGCCTATACAATTCCTAGAATTCTTATTATATCTATTTAGAAATAGTAGCAATGTCGCCTGTAGAGCAGAATTAGGTAGATGCTTGGTCCAAATGGGCACAACCTCACACTCCCTTCAAATGGATGCTCTCCACTTACAGCAAAGCCTTCCAACAAATACCCGTAGACTAACTTTATTGCAACGTTAAAGACATACCGGTATTAGATCACAATGGATTAACTCCTCTTTGTGGCATTCCGAATCAACATTGTGACCCTGAACATGTTGGGGAAATGCTGAGAAGGACTCTGACTTACAGATATACACATGTCTTCTTCAGTTTACAAGAGAGAAGTCAAACCCTTCAGACATAGTTTTAGACATAGCTATAATTTTAGACAAATACCTTTCATTTGTAGATTTTAGTTATTTTATATACTGCTCTTCTTTTATGCTTGTAACTGGCAATTAGCCTCCGGGGCCGGGGCATGAACAGGAATATGAATCAGCATGTGTCTGCTCAGTTGTGAATGATCTGTTCAATTTCCACAATGTCGCAAGGGTTTCCTGGAATTTCACTTCGTAGGAAAGTGGTCCAGAATGTAGGACATACACTTGAAAGGCATGTGGGGAATCCTGGAATGTGGACCAGAATGTCAGAATGTAGGACATTTGAAAGGCATGTGGAGAATCCTGGAATGTGGACCAGAATGTCAGAATGTAGGACATACACTTGAAAGGCATGTGGGAAAGGAATGTGGGTATGATTGTAGGTATGTGAGGAAAGCAGACTGATTGTCGGCTGAAAAGAGAGATCACTTTGGCTTGGTTTGAGGCAGTCATCACAGGGAGGTACAGATTTGCGGCCTGAGTTCAGAGATTATAAGCCTGGTAACCAGTCTCAGCGGGTCAGCTTAGAGGTGTTTTCCGATCCCATCAGGGAAACACGGCGGTCTGTTTCACCACTACAAGGGCTAGTTTTCAGTTCTGTGTGGTTGTCCAAATGGGGACCTTCCACGTGCTTCTTACGGCCTGGCAATCCTTAGAAGGTAATACAACATCCAATGTATTTATGAATAAAAAGAGCCCTATAGGACACCTGTGTCGATCGTAAAAAGTAAAAATCTTCCTCTGTTGTTGGAACTGTGATAGATTTGTGTGATTTTAATTTTAGGTGAAACGTAAGTCTGTTATAAAGGACTATTAAATGTACAGGAAATAATCTGCCATTGAGAATGATTACCCGGGGAATAATTGTCCTATAACAAAATTGATCTAGTCGAAGGATTTGGTTATGCTTACCTAACGTTAACAACCTATCAAGTTGAACGTCAATATCTGATGTCCACAAGAAATATTATATTAAACTACATATGAGACCTCACCTATCGAAAATGTACACAACCAATTCTGTAAAAATGTTCTTGGTGTATTTAGAAATAGTAAGCAATGTCGCCTGTAGAGCAGAATTAGGTAGACTTCCTTTAGATACAGATATTTGTATATAGATATACTAGTAGTTAAATTCTGGTTATGCTTGGTCCAAATGGACACAACCTCACACTCCCTTCAAACGGATGCTCTCTCTTACAGCAAAGCCTACAAATACCCGTAGACAAACTTTATTGCAACGTGTTAAAGACATACCGGTATTAGATCATAATGGATACTCCTCTTTGTGGCATTCTGATAACTCACATTGTGACCCTGAACATGTTGGGGAAATGCTGAGAAGGAGACTTACAGATATAACGTTACACGTGTCTTCTACAGTTATAAAAGAGAAGTCAAACCCTTCAGACATAGTTTTAGACTTAGACGTAGCTATAATTTTAGACAACTACCTTTCATTATGTGGATTTTAGTTATTTTATATACTGTTCTTCAATGTTCTTTTATGTTTGTAACTGGCAATTAACCTCCGGGCATGAATTTGCAATAAACTTCTCAATTATTATAGAGAGAAAGATATAGTACCTGTTCAAATGCAGCAGAGTTGAAGACTGTTGATAATACGTAGGGGAAGATGTTCTACACTAATTCAGAAAACTCACTTACTGCTTACTTCATTAACATCATGGGAGCTATAGCTATATGAGCTAGATAATGTTGCATGGGAGTGGGCAGGGATGTAAATCAGCATGTGTCTGCTCAGTTGTGAATCTGTACAATTTCCACAATGTCCCAAGGGTTTCTTGGAATTTCACTACGTAGGAATGTGGGCATAGATGTGTGTCAGCAAAATCCCAGACATGCCTGTAGACATTCCATTCCTGTGGAAAAAAATGCCTGTGCAATTCCTAGAATTCTTGCAAACTGCACACAATACTGTACCATTAGGCTCCCCCCTGAGGCGTCGCCAAAAAAGGGGCAAATATTCAGCGCATGTACAGGGTGTACTTACGTTCAGCCACTGTGACCCCTTCTAAAGGCTTCGACCCGGAAGTAGATAAGATAATCTGGAAATCGGTAAGGCGGAAACCCCCATGCAGTGCGAAATCTACGCCGAAATGAGCCATAAGGCAGCATTCTGAACGTTAACTTTGTCTCTACATATCTCATCTTTGAATAATTTTTGAATCCTCAACTGTACTGCAACTTGTCTCGATAACGAAGAGCCATTTATGTGCTTGATCTGTCCTATTTTGACTGTGCTATCGACTTTTATGTGACCATGTCTATGCCTCAAATCGGCGCGTCACAAAATGACCCTCTGCGCCATGTATCAAAAGCGATTTCTAGCAGGCGGTAAAATTATTGCATGTAAAACTCAAGTATCTGCAATAATTCCACGAGCTGCTAGAGGCCCTCATTGACACGTGTGATGAATTGACATTATGGCGCCTGTGTATGCATCACAGCATCTAATTAACTAAAACGTAAGGGAGCAAACTTTGTAAAGAAGGGTGCACGTTCGCCAGGGATGGAAAGATTCTTCTGGACACCTCCAGTATGAATTCATACACTTCTAGAAAGGGATTGGTGGGAAAAATGGAACGAAAAGTTTATGCGTTTATGCGTTTTATTGATGTTTGTTTAATTTTTCGTTACTAAACATATTTTCCTTGATTTTGTTCTTACTATCAGCTCAAACCGTCCAGAAAACAACTAGACGTCAAGAATGGATTATATAGAAAATATTCCAACAACTAGTTCTGTAATTGCTTGTACTATTTTACTTTAAACGCCAATGTTTACTACTAATTCCTGCCTATATTTAACCAAGTTCGCCTGGAGGATTGCGTAACTACATCGC